AAATTATAAAAAATTATTATATATTATAACAGAAGCGTTACCAAAGCCACAAAGATCCGGCTCGTACAAACTCTTGTTTTCCCCATATTCCTATACGCTGCGGAGACGTGGACTTTGCGGCAGGTCGAGAGAAAGAAGATTGATGCTCTGGAGATGTGGTGCTGGAGACGAATGCTTGGTATTTCATGGATCGAACTTCGCACCAATATCTCCATTCTTCGAGAACTCGGCATTAAGCAGCGTCTTTCGGCGCTCGTGCATGGACGCATACTATCATTTTTTGGACATGTCTCCCGGCGAGGAAATGACTCCATAGAGCGCCTTGTCGTTCAGGGCAAAGTAGAAGGCACCAGACCGCGTGGAAGGGTGCCCATGCGATGGACCGACCAGATCAAGTCGGCAGTTGGCGGCTGTTTGCATGAGTGTACCAGGCTCACCACAAACCGGGAGGAGTGGCGATTGCTCGTGAGGTGCATAACATCTGCCCACAACAATGATGCTGGATGACGACCACGACCGCTCTGACAAGAGTGATACGACATACGAATACGAATTATAATATTATGCTAAAATTAATATTATTTTGGAAAAAAATATTCCACAACTATCGGCAAATACGTCAGCATCCTGGATTTCAGACAGAAATTCGTTTAACAACGAAATTTCCCTGGCCGTTGGAAAATTCCTAGCTCTATATCTCTTTATACATAAATGATATTCGATGCGCAAAAAATATATATTTCTAGGTCTATTAAAATCATTTCAATCCTACAGCTAGGCTCGTTAAAATAGATTTTTTTTCAGGTATTTCAACTTTAAATTAGTCTACTGTAAAGTTCACGCATTGTCGCTTAGTAACGTTTGCCTTTCAAGCGTCGATATGTATGTTAGGAATTTAATACAATTAGGTGATATTGTATAAGACTTAATTTCGTAAACTTAATTTGGTATTACATAGATACTAAGTCAAAAACGGATACCCCAACCCCAATTTACTAGGGGAATATTTTTTGAACACTTAAAAATATGACTTGCGACCAGATTCTATAATATGTTGTAAAGTAATCTCCCCGCCGAGTTGTCGTGTCCGGCCATTACATCCGTCACTCGGATTTCATTTTAAAATTATCTTTTTCCCATCACACTTGTCTTAGTAAGTACTCCATCGCTTCGTGAATCTTTGAGTCATTAATGAATTTAATGCTAGCGATGAAATTGATAGCGTTAAGTTTCAAGATTGAGTGTTCGAAAAATTGTTTCTATGTTTCCACAAAGAACTGGATTTTTATTGGTATTTATAACATTTGTAAATAGACCAACCTCACAATATTTTATACGTAAGTAAATGCAAAAAGTTCCCGCCTAATTCATTAAATTTACAGTTTAAGCATAGTCCACTTTTAATCAACAGAACTACCAAAGACAAATAAACAATGTAGGAAATTATATCTCTACAACGTTATCTTTATATATTGACTCAGTATTCTACCAGAAGAGTGCGTATATAATTGAACTCTAATGTAATTTTATTCTGAAATTGCATGTAACGTATTTATATTGAATACAAAATTAAATGTAAATAAATTATAAGCTAAGAAAATAATGATAATTAAAAATGTTATATAGAATAAGAAACCCAATGTTCGTTTGTATTAAGTATTAATTTGATTATCATAATTACATACATATGTATGTATGTATATGTTATAACTATCAGAAACTTTGAGCTACTGTTAAAATCATCAACTTATAGCTATCTGAAAGTAATGTGTTTTATGAATAACTGTAATCTATTTATAAATAAGAAACAAAAATAAACTTTTCTCAAATGTTTCAAAATCGACTTTCTTTTAAATTTTTGGTTTGGTAACATTGTTTTTAGTAAGAACTGCAGAGTTATAGAAAACAAAGGCATCAGCTCGCTGAGTTTCTCGCTGGATCTTCTCAACGGGTCGCGATTCCGATTCATTCGTGAAGCAGCTTATCTTGAGTTGTTAGGTCTCCTTCGGAGGTGCTCGGGCAGTTGTTAGCAAATCCTACCCCTCCTGGCTGAGCCTTTGCTCGCCCACCTGTCCTGGTGAAACTGGAAAGGCCTCCGGGAGAACGTAACATTTACAAAATGAATCATCAGGAATGAGTGACTGCGTTCAAATTTAGATCACTGAGCAAACAATAGTACTCATATAGGTACCGATTATCAAAAACTTCAATACCTTGGAAAAGTGGCCGCGATTGCTTGTTCATTGTACCTATCTTTAGTTTGTCCCTGCGAAATTGACTACCTTGTAGGTAATAAAAAGTTTTATTACTGAACACTGACCTAAGCTATACCTAATAAGGTTTTGAAATTAATTTGTGACGCGTCAAGAAATATTTGTGAAATGTCCAAAAAGTGGCGTCAGGTCTAGAGTCGTGGCGGTCCTAACATGATATACAAGTAACATTACAAATAACTACGCAATGTAACAACACAGGACGGCAGCTGCCACCACGTGTCTTCGCCATAAAATATAGTTTATGAAATATAAGTAAGCATGAACAAACTATCTTTATTTTTTATTTAAACATAGCATATGTCCAATTACTTGTAAGTTTGGTGGACGAGCTTACCACCCACCTGGCGTAGAGGTTACAGCTGTCCATAGACATCACAACGTGAAGGTCGACCCATCTTGGAACGTAAGGTCGAACACTCTATTGTACATAGTCAGGTCATAAATTCTGTCACATGTTTAATGTAAAATAATTGAAACAAGTTTATTCATTATGTAACCATTCATATACCAAAATGAACTTAACAAAACATAGATTCTTATGACACTAAAGTTTATTCAAAATGACCTCCATGATTTTGAATACAGGCCTTCAATCTGCGCGGCCAGTCGTCTATCGCAGCACGAACGAGGTCCATGTCAATATCGGCGGCTGCCTTAATCAAGGATGTCTTGAGTGACTCCAAATTGGGATGAGGCTTTGAGCACGCCTTTTCCTCCAAGTGTTGCCATATCTTGTAATCTAACGGATTCAAATCTGGACTGGAGGAGGGCCAGTCTTCGTGCCGGATGAAGTCGATTTCACGCGCCGCCAGCCAGTCTTGTGTGCGCTTCGCTCTATGAACTGGCGCCGAATCTTGTTGGAATACCCAGTGCCTGTTATTGAACATGGTATGAGAAACAGGTACCACAAGGTTCGTCAGGACTGTATTTTGATACACAACTGCATTCGTTTTTACACCTTTCTCACAAAAATGTACCTCTGTTAAGCCCCAATAAGAAACTCCCAACCATACCATGAGTGAGGATGGAAAATGACCTCGTTGGACACGCGGAATACGGTTGCTCGCTTCTTCATTACTGTGTGCGTACACCTTATCATTTTTTTTTTGTAGCTCTCTTCTACGGTAAAAATTTTTTCATCCGAAAAAAGATTTTGCCGATATTTTTTTCCCGCGTACCGCTTCAACAAAGCGCGGCATCTCTTCAGTCTCAGGTCCATTAGACGAGCATTCAAACGATTTCCTGATTTTTTTCCGATATGCCCGAAGCCCTAAGTCTTCATTTAACACCCTTTTCACCGTGGTTCTGCTTAACCCCATCTGAAGGGCCAACAGTTTCTGCTTACGTTTGGGATTTCTTTGAATTCGCACCTTCACAGCTTTTATCACTGCTGGAGTCCTAACAGACCGAGGACGACCACTTCTTGACCTGTCATCTACACTAGAGTCTTCATTGTATCGTTTGATGGTACGATAAACGAATCTTTTGGTTATATTCAAATTTTTCAGTATGTTAAAAATTTGAATTGGCGCGTAACCGCAACGATGCAACGCATTAACTGCAACACGGTCTTCTTTAAGCGTCCACTCCATATTTAAAAATGAGTAAAATTCTAAATGTATACTATTTTTATTTTCATGAACAATTCGAAATTCGGGTTCAATAAACTTTTTTGTGGCCAGCATTCTAAAAGAAAAGTTTTTACTGTGTGACAATACTTATGACCTGACTAGGTATAGTAGGTATAACGACTGTCCCACCCTTCAAAACTGGAGCGCTATACTGCTTTGCTAGAACTAGAAATGGACAAGATTAAAGAAATGGACAAGATTACTTACTAGAAATAGACAAGATTGTGGTGTATCCCATGCCGGCTTATAATTGCCCTACCACCGTGATGCGTCGGTTGGCGATCGCAAACGGTAATACAAATAAGCCGTTGTGGCCTGAACGATAAGACACCCAGTGCACTGAGCCGGTGTTCGAATCCCGGAGGCCCTATTTTTCTAATGAAATAATTACTTAACTCCTGTTTACGAATGGCTTCCACGATAAAGAAATTAAAATAAAATTAAAATCTGCGTAACCCACACAAATAAAAATTTGCGTAATTAACAGTATATAAAATTGAGACCTAGACCAAAAATCTCAGAAACCCAGAGTGGGCAGCATCATTCACGCTGTGATGTTTATTAGCTCCGGTGGCTATTTAACGCCATGTGGTCCATGAGCTCGATCACACGTTAACAAATAAAAAATATCGGCGAGAAACTTATCGGACTACCGTTATTGAGCAAGTGACGCACCCAACACTGCGGGAGTTCTACGGGTTGATTGAACTGGGCTTTGTCTGGCTGCTGCAAGAATTATTGTAGAACTGGGAGCGTCCGACGGCAATGAGAGTAGGTCAGGAGGAGGCATCCAAATTACAGAAAAAAAAGGCCGAAGACAACACCCCGCAATCAGGCGTAATGAGTATTGTACGAGTAAGTTAGTTTCGGACCTAGGTATTGAATTTAGAACATTTTCACACCGAAACTATTTAGTTTATTCGAATACTGAGTGTATTAACTACGTCGAAAACAAAAGCAGCAACAGCATCAACAGATCATCAGCTTAAGGGCCTCACCATTCCCTTCTACTAGAATGGTTTGTCCTGCGCTGTCTGCATCCAGGTCATTTCTGCCACTTTCAACAAGTCGCCGATCACTCTTATGGGTGCCCCGCACAGTGCGTCTTCCAGTGTGCAGTCACAGCTGGAGAACCTTTTGTCCCCAGCCGGTCCTCTACGAACAATGTGTCCAGTCCAATGCCACTTCGACTTAGCAATTCTTCGAGCTATGTCGTTTACCGTGATTCTCCTACGAATATCGTCATTTCTGATTCTATTGGCTGGCAACTGCTCAAAAACTATCGTCTTCAAATAAGCGGTGTTGCGCAGCTTCCCGAACGCTGTCTCGAGTAGGATTCGACGCATGACGATCATTATTGAAACGTGACTGACACAACTGGACAGCTTACACAAAGTAAACTTACCTACTCGTTAAAAAACTTCCACGCCTTTTTTACTTGGGCTTCAGAGTATGATCTCAGGGTCAGAATAGAGTTAGAGCTGATTAAAATATACTTCACAACTTCTTAGCCAATCGGGACGGTTTTGAAGTTTGAGCTGAGATCGCTTAGATGTTTTGAGTTTTGGTGTTATTGCATTGAGCGTAGACATCATCAACTAGGGTCTTTCCAGTTTGATATTCTAATTCGATTTCACTCTTACCGATCCGAAGATCACCGATGTCTGCAAAGCCGAATTATTACAGATACATCATTGAACATCTGCGTTTTTGTGGAAAAAATTAAGTTTTTAGTCATTTTTGGTTCACCATCAGGGTTTATCCAGGTGAACATCCCGCAATCGCATTTTCTGAAGAAGGAATTCATCATTTAATTATAATGTTATGGGTCGTTTCTCATGAATGTGTCTTGTCATTAAAAATAATATACGTATGCTTGGTCTTGCGTAATAGGTAATTTAATACCACAGATTCACATATGCTTATATTGTTTGTTTTATAAATCGCCGGGTGAACGAGCTTACTATCTCGTCGGCTCTCGGCTATCGGAAGCGGAACCTACAGACATCAACAACTTAAATGCTGCCACTCACCTTGGAACAGTGACAATATGTTCTATGTACATTTAATACATTTGCTGCCTGACCCTGCGAGCTGGAACGAAATACTCCTTCGGGCTGAAAATTAGTAGAGTACCTAATGAGTTAGTAGGTAGTGCTAGCCCCATGCGGACTCATAAGACTTTCTACCAGTAATTACGCAAACCATATGGGTATTTTGCCGATTTGATTTTTACTACATGACGCTATTTCTCCACCGTGGAACTCTATCTTGAACAGGCCAACAGCCTAGTCCAAGCGCTAAATAAAAGTATACCGAACGCCTTATCGTTTAGCGCACGACGTCATCAAAACGACCAACGGTTGTGTATTCATAATTTATAGTTAAATGACTAGGTGTTTCGTTAAAGTTTATGGAAATTATAGTAGTCTGTGCTCCCAAATTATGAACGAGAACGCCAAATGAGAAAGCCAGAAAATAAGTTATATGAATTATCTTATTAGTTTAGTTCTTCTATAGGATAATTTGTACATATATGAATGGTAGCTTACTATTTATCATCTGTGTAAAGTTTGGTAAAACAAAATAAAATCACAAGCACATGAATTATCGCGCTTCAGCATATTAAATTCCAAGTCCATTCCCATATTTTTACTGTCATCTCATTTCATTAAATTTCATCTCTTAATCAATTTCTAATAAATCAACTTCTGTCACTCCGGCCTAAAGTTTTTTATTATATAGCATGTACCTAGTGTGTTGTAATAAAATATAATTGATTAAAAGAATAGAATCCAGGCTAGGTATTCAGTAAAAAAGCTTCTTCACTTCACAGCTGTCAAAACGAAGTTTTAGTTGTCAAAGTTGTCAAACTCAAATGTTAACATAGCTAGCGTCGTCCGTCGATCGTTGAAGTATTCCAAAGTAGTTGAAAATGAATAGTTCGTTTTTGAATGAATTATAATTAAATAATTGTAATTTCTGTTAATTCTTATTTACTTGTAGCAAAGGCTGTAAATATACAAGATGTCCAAATGGTGAGTGCAAAGTTGTGAGTCATATAAATTGACATTGTGCTATAGTTACGCATTCGATACATTTACGACCCATTCCCGTTAATTTGCCGGCATCAGATCCAGCAATTGATTTAATTGTGATTGGCACAGCTTTTTTAATTGGTTCAAAACTGAAACAATGAAATGGTGTAAAGGTCATTTAACCAGTAAACTTACGTGTACACTGATCGCACTAGTAATCTCAATAAAGATGTTTAAAAAACTAAACGGTATAAATTGAGTAAGTAAAGACGACGAATAAAAAAATCAAAAGACTTACGTTAGTTTCTAACTGCGTTCAAATAACCAGTAATAATATTCGTACAGCAATAAGTTTTTATAACTACTAAAAAATAAGATTAATTAAAATACATTTATTTATTACAATCAGGCAATCAGAACGCAGTATCCATGAAATGCTGAAGGACACTCCTCCAATAAGGGAGTCCAGTGACTCCATCACATCTGGAACAGAACCCAAGTTTCCTACTTCAAGATCTATGCCTTTTCCACCTGCATATGGTAAAAAGTTGATTATTTCTCTTCACCAGCATAGGAGTAACCAATTTTTGTTGCTTTCACTATTTTGCTTTACTATTTATAGTATATTTCTGGATGAGACTACAGGCTACCTTGAGAGGGGATCAACTATCAATCAAATTGTTTATAGATTGCGAAAATAAGTAAGCTGTAATCTTATAAAAAAGCTGTTTGTAGCTTTAACATAAACACATTCTAATCTTTTGTCTAATGAGATAAAATTGCATTTGGTTTTCAGTACCACCAGAAGTGTCACATAATGGTTCTGCAGGCACTAGTACACTACTCCGAACTGGATCAACCAAGCTGGAGTCCATACGTAATTGGGGAGTCTCCACCTACAAGTGTACCAAACAATTGTTGTATGAGAAACTTGGAAAAAGTTCAAGAACTGTTGATACAGGTATACCTACAAATGTACATACATTTAAGATATAAAATATGTGTTACTATGAAATATAAATTATACCAAAATATTTGAAATTTGTTGATTGCTGGTAGAAGTGATAGACGCTTGTGTTTTGGACAGAGCTGGAGGCCCAGATTGAGATGGTCCGTGAAACGCAACGCAAGTACAGTGCAGTTCTACGTTTGAGCTCATCTCTGGCAGGGCAGCTTGCTCTCGCTTTTGACACTCAACGTGCGCTGGGTGAAGCATTTGCTGACCTCGCACAGAAATCACCGGAACTGCAGAACCAGTAAGTTCTCTAATTAATTGCTCAGTCTCTGATAACCACTTAACAGTAATTGGGCTGTGAACAGGCAAAAACAAGATACTTAAAATTATAATTATTTTCAGATTTCTCTACAATGCAGATACTCAACGTTCATTGACCCGCAACGGTGAAGTATTGCTGGCTGCATTACATTTCTTCAATAATTCCTTGAACACTCTCACCAATAAAACTATTGAGGATACATTATTGACAATAAGACAGTATGAATCGGCAAGGTAAGCAATTGAATATTCAATACTTTTAAACCAATCAATAGCTATATTTAGTATTTATTAATAAAACTCGAGTGTTGATAGTCAATCAAGACTAAGGTACAGTCATAGTAGGTTAGGTGGCCGCGGCGAAAAGTGATTCTAGCGCCACTCACCGGCGTGAGTGAGGTCACGAACTGCAACACTCGCCACTCACTGCGAGAGAGTGTTCATTATAGATGTGATAGTTCAAGAATACTGTTCTCGTGTGTGAGTAATGTGAGATGACATGTCCGCCAGGGTGGAGTACGACGCGTACCGCAGCGAGCTGGAGGCGGCGGGAGGCGGTGCGGGCGGTGCGGGGGGGCCGGGCGGCGCGGGGGAGGCGGCCGTGCGCGCGCACCGTCAGCTGTACGAGCGGCTGCGCTCCGACTGCGCCGTCAAGCTGCAGCTGCTGCACGACAACAGGGTGAGCGCCGCCGTCGCTGTGCCTCTGTGGAATCGCACGCCCGTCTACGAAACTACTACCTTTTAGAATATACGATTTAATCTGAGTTTTGATGTCTGAAATTTCTTCACGTCAGTAACGGAGACTATCGCACTCTGCTACAGGGAGCAGTTTCATTAACAATCACCCACATTAAAATACAGAGTGTGCTCTCAAACCAATTATTAATTTCTCTAGATTGAGCGTTATTTAAATGACTTTAATTTACTTTTAAATTTAGTGTTACGAGTGCTTGTAAGGACGTTAAGTGGAAATATTGAATTTTAGCTTTGCCTCGCAGGTGAAAGTAATGAACAAGCAGCTGCTGCTGTTCCACAACGCCGTGTCCGCGTACTTCAGCGGGAACAACGTTGCACTGGAGGCGGCCGTGCGGCACTTCAACATCCGCGCGCCCGCCGCGCCCCCACCCGGCTCCCCGCCTGGCCCCCTGGCGCCCGCCGCGCCCCCTCCGCCCGGCCCCCCGCATCCCCCCGACCACGCCGCATAGCTCCTGCCAATGTATTAGTATCCCGCAACTCAATAACACTTTACTGATGGTGAAAGTGCTTCAACCTGAAAACACCGATATTGGATTTCCACATGTTGCAAGATGACCAATCCAAGAGCCACATGACTCAGCATGGATAACGCTGCGGTGCCTATCTCTATTCTCACAGTCTCACACGGCTCTTATTGAACTAGGACTGAAGACAAAAAAATCACCAGAAAAAGCTTTGGTTTGAATAAGCATTGGTCTCAGGCTGAAGTTATTCAAATATTCTTTCAAGATAACCAGATTATTAGTTTTAAGAAAAAAAATCTTCATTTTACATTGCATTATTTCATACTTTTATTTATACTCTACTCGTGAATTCTTATTTATAAAAAAATTATTTAATGTATTACGTATAACTACTATTTAGTACCAATTCGTTTTCATCCAAATTGAAGTACATTGAAGCTTCCAACAATAAGCAAACGCTAAATGCCTTACGTAGTAATAATTAGCTCAATAATTATCCTTCCATTAATCGCTTATAGCTTTGACTTTGACAATTCATTAATAAATGGACTAATGAAATCCTCTGACTCCACACTTGCAGATTTTATTGATTATCTCTGTATAAATGATAAATACAGTGTGCTTCGTATATGGTTACCAACTATTTAAACGTAGCTTCATTACGTCCTCACATACAACATCTAAAACTGTGACTCCATAAATATGCAGGATTTTTCGTCCAATAAAAAATCATGATTGATCTAAATTGTTATTCATTTTATGTAAAGTAGTGCTTCTTAAAATAGATAGATATAGTAAAAAAGTTCATGAAAAAGTGGAATGTAAATAGGATTGGATGTAAGAACGGACGTCGGCGGCAAGAGCGCAGGGTGGTTTCCGAAAAACGCACTACCTAAATAGGAAAGTCGCAAAGCAAAATTTTTTTGCTGCTGTGTGCAGAAGTTGAAATGTGAGATTGATGATCATTTACTGGGGAGAGTTGGAAGTGTTTGTTATTTGCATCATTATTTTGCTGTTATACTGCAATAAAATGAAACTAGCTGACAACTTTACTGTTGGTAATTTAAAAGTAAATTTTATTTTGCATTGAGTTCGTTACCCTACTTTTATCCATAGAGATAAAGGTATAAATATAAAAACTACTGCAATAAACTAAAAACATAAATATGGAAAAAAATATAGTCTAGCATCACTGAGCCATGAAAATAAATGCTTTTATAACATAAAAATTCAGTATTAAATTATGAAATTATAGGTCTTATTTATGATGTCTATGCCTAAAATTTTAAGAGATCAAAAGCTGTGTTAATATTTATTGTTTGTTGGTTTTGTAATAAAATGTATGAATTTATAATTAGAAGAAAGAATGTAAGTACATAGCTAGTCAAACATTTAGTTTAATGTATTCTATTATCTTGAATAATATATAATTTTAGAATGAATATTGTACACTAATTTTAATGATAAGTCCCACTATGTGTTTCTCATATTTTTTATTGAGTATAAAATAGACCATTTGCATTTAAATAGTAATTTTATTTAATTTGTGCAGTTATTTAAAATTGTTCTCTTGGCACCTCTTGTTCCACTTGCAGTTGCTGCAAAGCAATGCTGTTTATTTGTTAAATTTCTTAAAATTTTGAATAAAAGAGCAAAAAAGATACACTGCTAGTAGTAGACATGTGCTTTTGCTGTTAAATGGAATAAGAACTAATGGGTGAGAAGATAATATAATGTCAACTCACAGATTTACTTTACATAATTTGATGATCACGGATCGTTTGGAACCTCTGGGTCTGCGGAGGGATTTCGGTTCCCTCTGTATTTTGTACCGTATGTTCCATGGGGAGTGCTGTGAGGAGTTGTTCGAGATGATACCGGCATCTCGTTGTTACCATCGCACCGCCCGCCACCGGAGTAGAGTTCATCCATACTACCTGGAGCCACTGCGGTCATCCACAGTGCGTTTCCAGAGATCTTTTTTGCCACGTACCATCCGGCTATGGAATGAGCTCCCCACCACGGTGTTTCCCGAGCGCTATAACATGTCCTTCTTCAAACGAGGCTTGTGGAGAGTATTAAGGGGCTTGGCTCTGCCCCTGGCATTACTGAAGTCCATGGGCAACGGTAACCACTCACCATCAGGTGGGCCGTATGCTCGTCTGCCTACAAGAGCAATAAAAATAAAAAATTTGACCTGGGTCATTTACAATTGAATGTTATTCCTCACTTTTTATAATAACTTAAACCACTCCAAAGCTCATTGACACAAGGGACAATGATCAAAGGGGTCTGTATGATGATTTAGTAGGGATTCTGATTCACTACAATGTAAATGATGCTGTCAAATGATCTCTAAAGAATGTGTGATGTATTAAAATAAAAAGCTTAAAATTTATAATCATCATAATCATAATAAAAAAAAATACAAGATTAACAATCTAACTTTATTAAAATATTTTTGATCACAGATAATGTTAATTGCATCCTAGAACTCTGCTCCTGATGCAGACAACTCATCCTGCTGAGTCTGTTGTAGGCTCATTTACCAAAATTTGGTATTTTCTTTTTATACCTTAACAGTTTCTTTGTCAGTATCATCTCTTACTATTTCTTCAGACTCTGCTTTGAATTTTTCCTAGTAAAAACAAAAGGCAAATGTTATTGGCTAGTAAATGCAGACCATGCTTCCCTAACACTGAATACTTTCGTATGTATTGTTTTGTAATTTGTATTGGTTGAAATTTTCATAACTTTTATAATAATAAATTTAAATTATAGAATTTCGTATTTTGCTTACCAGATCATAAATAACTTTGACAACGAGAGAACAGCTTGGGCATGTCGCTACTTCTTCTCCCGCCATTAATTCCTCCTGTTTTTTCAATACAACAATTATTGTTAATAAACTGATAATATTGTAAATAATATTTGTTGGATCATTGATTTTTGTTCTGTGATTAAGTATGTTTTTTTTTATTGTTTAGATGGATGGACAAGCTCACGGCCCCCTGATGTTAAGTGGTTAAAGGAGCCCATAGACACCTACAACGTAAATGCCGTCACCCTCCTAGAGATATGAGTTCCAAGGTCTCAGTATGGTTACAACAACTGCCCCACCCTTCAAACCAAAACGCATTACTGCTTCACGGCAAAAATAGGCAGGGTGGTGGTACCTACCCGTGCGGACTCACAAGAAGTCCTACCACCAGTAATTATTATTGTCGCAAATTATTGTAATTTGCGGGTTTGGTTTTTATTACACGATGTTATTCCTTCACCGTGGAAGTTAATCGTGAACATTTGTTAAGTACGTATTCATTAGGTAAAATAGTACCCGCCTGCGGGATTCGAACACCGATGCATCGCAAGATACAATACACCAGACGCCTTATCCTTTAGGCTACGACAACTTCTGAAGAAAATTTAAAAATCTTATCAGAAGAATTAAAGATTCGAAATGTGAAATACAAGTAGTATAAAACCAATGGAAACTATTTCTTTGAGAATATCTTTCATGATAAAAATTAAATAAAGTATTCACCTTGCTTATTTGAAATCTGTCACCGCATGGACATGGGTAATAGTACATTTCATCTTCTTCGTCATAATCAAAATCTTCTATTTCTATCTCGTCGTGGAATATAGTCATTCTGGTGTTAATAAAAACGAAATTAAAATAATTTCAGATTCCAGCAAATTCAATTCTGTACCGACCACATGCATCATGCATGTTTCGCCACTGTGTTTGGCAGATTTTGACGTTGACGTTTATTGATAGTAGTAGAGTTGGGACGGGGGCATTTGCATTGGCGCTATGACGTAGAAAAGCTACATAATATCTCAGATATGCAGATAAACAGCACGATCGTTGCATTAAGTGAGGATGAGATGACCTTCATACTGAAGCGAATAGAAGCTGTAAGTGCCAAGCTTGACCTGAAAATCCACCATTCTAAAACGGAACTAATGGTTATAGATATAGCTTCTTCAGCTTCTTCCACAAACCACGGCCCACAGATATGAAAAGGTAAGCCATTTTGTGTATTTTAGAATCTACCAAAGGTCGGAATGGCAAATTTTGTGATGACCAACCTAGAAATAATATGAAAAAATCAAAGAATGTGACCAAGATTTGGCTAGTTCAAAATGTGGTGCTGTAGAATGATGAAACGCATTGGACTGCCATGAATACCGATTAACCAACATTCCAAGAACTCCATGATTTACTGAGATCGAGCATTTAGCTTTTGAGGACATAGCATGCAGTTTCTAAGGCACAATCTGAAAAAGCTTCTCTTTCTTGGCCAAGTGGAGGGAAAAGAGCCAAAGGCAAGACACTAAAGATTTACTAACGCGTGGTAGTGATCCTCAGTTATGAGAGAATGATGAAGAAGAAGTTGTAGATCAGGGGTGAGGCGTATTTATCGGAACAGTCAAACGGAACAGGTTTGTCTATGAAAAAACTTGGAACTGTTGCCTATAGACCGAAACAATTGTTCCAACTATTCCATAATATTCCATATGTTATGTTGTTCCATTCCACAGTAAACAATCAGAAACGAAACAGTTTGGAACAAGGTATTTTCCTTTTTCACGTACAGAAATAGAAAAATATAGCATATACATCTTTTTCCCAAACAGTTTGTAACATGCTCTTTTCTCCTTTCACTTACTATAATAGAAAAAGATAGCAATAACCTTACCATGCATGCACGTTTTGGCAAAAGTAATTTTAAATATCATTAATATTAACAAATCAAGTTGTCAGTCCTAAGCCTGAGAAAGCATGAAGGATTAATTTCATTTCAAAAAATGTATTAAACCATTTCATATGTTACTGTTGCTTTATGTGGAACATATTCCATTTAAAACATTATTAAACATGGTTTTTTTTCCTACCTAAGCTGAGAGCCTTGAGAGACTATATCAGCGTAACCTTAACTAGTAGGTGAGCTCACGGGGCTTAAACCTGACGAGTTAAATATGTGGCAATACAACAGGCTGTTATATTGGAACAGGCTGCTATTTTGGAACAGGCTACTGGAACTGTTCTTTCACTGGAATAGGAATAGATAGAACAGGTCTCTAATTTCTCCTGTTACAAACCATCCCTGTAGTAGATTTATTTTTCCAATTTAGGTAAAACTATCATACCATACATCTTTTGCAAAATCTGTTTGAAAATGTTAAGGGGCGAAATGAAATGAAATTTAGGATATTAATCAATTGGGATGGAATGAATCAAATGAAATATCATATCAGTAAAATAGTGTAGATAATAAAACAATACATTAAATTTCGCTCCTTGCGTTCCCACCAAAAAGTCCTAATTGCGTATTTAAAAACTATAAAAATAATAGATAAAAAAAAAACTATATAACAAAGAAATATACTGTATTTTTGTGTTTGTGTTATAGTTACAGATTCAACTAAATTACATTTTATATTAAGTACATTCAGTGGCTTCTTGTTGAAATTTGTTTTGTGTCATTTTGATTGAAGATTTCTATTGTAATTAACAAACGTACACATTAATATAGGCAACACTACATATCACGTCACTCGGCACGTTTGGCCTAAAGGTCTGGATACTAGGCCATAAACTCCAAAAAAAAAACACTCGGCACGTCATACGTCATTTGACGTTTCATTTTCATATCAAATCATTTTTGTAAAGGCTAATATGATGGTGGTGGTCTTTTAAGTCTCTGCGGATTTGTAATAAATCTAATACAAAAGTGGTGCAGTGAGTGTATCAGTGCCTCGTGTCTTTTCAGTTTTTTTTAAAAGGACATCAAAACACGTTCATTATGTTTAGTTGGCTTAAGAAAGAAGGTGAAAAAGCGGAAAATATTGAAAATGTCGTGGAAGGGCTCAAGAGGATTTACAAAACTAAACTGTTGCCTCTTGAGCTGCACTACCAGTTCCACGATTTCCATTCGCCGCAGCTCGAAGATCCAGATTTCGATGCCAAACCCATGATACTTCTCGTGGGACAGTACTCCACCGGTAAAACGACATTTATCAGGTATTTGCTAGAGAGAGATTTTCCGGGCATCCGTATTGGTCCAGAGCCGACTACAGATAGATTTATAGCCGTTATGTTCGACGAAAAAGAGGGCGTAATTCCGGGTAATGCGTTAGTAGTAGATCCGAAAAAACAGTTTCGACCATTGAGTAAATTTGGTAACGCCTTCCTGAACCGATTCCAGTGTTCAACTGTCACGTCGGATGTACTACGCGGGATCTCTATCGTTGACACACCCGGTATCCTATCTGGAGAGAAACAGCGTGTAGATCGCGGGTATGACTTTACTGGAGTATTGGAATGGTTTGCTGAGCGTGTTGACCGAATCATACTTTTGTTCGATGCTCACAAACTTGATATATCAGATGAATTTAGGCGCAGTATAGAGGCATTGAGAGGACATGATGATAAGATCCGAATTGTGCTCAACAAAGCTGATATGATAGATCATCAGCAGTTGATGCGTGTTTATGGAGCTCTGATGTGGTCACTGGGAAAAGTTTTACAAACTCCTGAGGTTGCTAGAGTGTACATTGGCTCATTTTGGGATGAGCCTCTCCGGTACGATGTTAATCGTCGACTTTTTGAAGATGAAGAACAAGATTTATTTAAAGACATGCAGTCTTTGCCAAGGAATGCTGCCCTGCGTAAACTAAACGACCTTATTAAAAGAGCACGACTTGCTAAGGTTCATGCATACATAGTCAATGAGTTAAGGAAAGAGATGCCTTCAATGTTTGGTAAAGATTCAAAAAAGAAAGATCTAATCAAGAATCTTGGTCAGGTTTATGATAAAATACAAAGAGAGCAGCAAATATCACCGGGAGACTTTCCAGATATTAAAAAAATGCAAGAGACCCTGGCCAATCATGACTTCACTAAGTTTCACCCCTTGAAACCCAAGTTGCTAGAAGTAGTGGACCACATGCTGGCAACGGACATTGCACGGCTCATGGATATGATTCCACAGGAGGACATCAACATTGTCAGTGAACCTCTGATAAAGGGTGAGTTGATTGCACTTTTAGTTGTAGCACTCATTATTTTTCATATAATGCAAAGCTCAATTGATATCATAAATTTGTACAGAAGAATGTTTTTTTTTTGGGTTTAAAGTTACCACATTGTTAGAAATGAGGTCAAAGTCTTAATTCAGAATGTATGACTACTTAGCTTTAGAAGTATCCAGGGCTCTACCTCAGCATGCTTTGAATATCCCAATCCCAGTAAAGGTGGGAATAGTGCATTTTAAGTTAAGACAAAACTATCAGGGCAACTGATGTACTACCAAAAGAAATAAATGTTACTAGTCTTCAAAGAAAGAATTGTTCAGCAGATAATTTGTACCATTTAAATTTTTTGTAAAAAGATTTTTGTGCTGTCTCACTTTGACTACAATTTACCTTAAGTGTTTTCAATGAATTTAATTTTCATTTTATAATCACAATTTTTAAAACAAATAAAATTTGAACAGTCCTGGTGTAACTTATAGTAATGTTATATTAATCAGCAGATGGTGTATGAGACAGTATCTCTTCAAGCCACTTCCAAAACAACCCCATCAAGTCTCCCATATTTTCTCTATTCTTTTTAAAAGTTAATAAGATTATACTTCCTACTAGGCTATTTCTAAGCACCTCATCAGCCACAAGTATGCTTTTATCGCGAGATATTGACCCAAATAATCAGTGTTTATCATTGTGATAAGGAAAACTGGCTAGCTGATATATAAGCTATAGCAGTACTGTAACTGTGGCATTGTAACTGTCTGTGTTATTACTTATACATTCTATAATTACCTATGACCTCATCAAGGTTGTGGTCTACTACTAATAACAACTTTTGTTATTGCTTTAACAAATTGTTATTATATACTAACCATTCCATGTATGGATCAAAAATAATTATTATTTGTGGCCTAATAGGTAAGACTGTAAACTCTTATCGAGTGGCCTATGACTGTAGTTCATATTTGACAGGCATGTGCCAATTTCTCTTCAAAATAAGTAGCTACTTGTTCACATATTATCCATATTTAGCATAATAACACCAGGTAGACCTCAACTATGTAAAGCAATAAAAAGTCATTTAGTTCAATATAATTGAGATTTGACTGTTTGACTGGTTTGACCATTAATATTAGCGAGGTGTGAAAAGCTATTTGTTTTAAGCGATACTTTTTCAACTTTACAGGAGAGTTGGGCTATTTAAATGGAGTAAATTGAATTGAACTGTTTTTTATTTTTTTTTATTTTTATTGCTTAGATGGGTGTACTGTTGAACTGTTGATGCTAATATCAAATAAAACATACCTTTAATTACAAAGATAAACGTCACGTATTAAGTGAAATGCTGCTTAAACCAAATACCTTAAACCCCTCGTTATATATTTCATTAATTTACACATGACAAACTTTCATGGCTCTCTCACTCCAAGGTTTGAGGAAGCATGCCAAAAGTTAGGCTTCGTGTATCTATGGACATGTCTCAAAAACAATAGATAGATATCGCGATTGTTTGTACGTAATGTGAACTATCTGTCGTCAATTACGGCTCGGCACGAGAACTGTGGCTGGCACGGACCACCGTGAGTGCGACGGTCACGTTTGGCTGTTCAGCCAAGTTAATAAAAAGAGCACGCGTGTTGCGGCAGATCGAGCGAAAGTGTAGCCGAAGCGTTTTTCATTTGCAGACACGTTCTGACTGTCGGTCGCAGTTAAAGCGAACCGAGACTTGATTCAGTGCACGCAGCCTGCATCGTTCTAGAAGCTTCACGAAACTAGACGTTTCTAAACGATGCTCGATATTTCAAAGTCTCGTGATTTAAATAACGGTTACGAAATGTAAAATCTAAATCAATTAGATTTTAATAAAAGTAATTGTGTACTCCATTTGCTGCGACGATCGTTACATGTACGATCGTTACATGTTTGAACAACACACTACTGCTAAAGCCATATGCTCGCCACCTGTTGTTCGTTGGTGCGAAGATAAAAACCTTCCCTGGAATACCAACAACAGCTTTAAATCTACATTTTCTTCAAAATACTTAAACAAAGAATACAGGAGTTCATTTATCAACAAGCTGTTAGCGAACACACGGCTTTGGTTTTTTACTAAACTAGCTGTGCCGGCGACTACGTTGACTCACTAGTCGCTTGGATATCGATTTTTACCCGTCTGATGGAAGAGGGAAATTATCTTAGAACGTTTTTTTTTGTTGCTTAGATTGGTGGACGAGCTTACAGCCCACCTGGTGTTAAGTGGTTACTGGAGTTCATAGACATTTACAACGTAAATGCGCCACCCACCTTGAGATATAACTTCTAAGGTCTCAGTATAGTTATAACGGCTGCCTCACCCTTCAAGCTGAAATGCATTATTACCTACCATCAGTAATTACGCAAATTATAATATTGCGGGTTTGATTTTATTACACGATGTTATTCCTTCACCGTGAAAGTCGATTGTGAACATTTGCTAAGTACATTTTCATTAGAAAAAATGGTACCCGCCTGCGGTATTCGAACACCGGTGCATCCCTAGATACGAATACACCGAACATCTTGTCCTTTAGGCCACGACGACGTATGTAGGTCTAGTTCTTTGTGTGCCTTTACCGCTAAACCTTATGACAGAACTCGACATTTCTGTCATTAGATTCGTCTAAGTGTTGCGAGTGGTATAAATTATCCACAAAAGAAACTAAAAATAATCTAATAATAATCTAAAAAGTGAAATAAAGTACTTAAGGATACAACCAATACGACTACATATTACTCGAATTCAGTACCACTTTTAGGAAATGCAGACGGACTTACAACGAAATACAAAATATTTGAGTAGAATCGAAACTTTACAACATTGTGATGATTGGATTAGGAGTTTTTATTTAAACGGCTGTTAAGAAAAGGTAAAAAAAATAATTGGTTGAAATCTATTCAATAACTGTGGCGCCGCGCCGTGCGGACATGGCGACGACACGAGCCAGATCTCTTTTTGTTTTACTATCGTATACAGATTACATGTTATTATATTTTTACTGCGCTAGGAATACGCCCATTGATTTTTACAACAATACCAACATAATATGATGTGGCAGTAATAGTAATTGTCATGAGTCCTCAACCAAAATGTCGGTTATTCCTACACCAGAAAATATCTCAAACGAACTCTTGTGTAAACTAATCACAACCAGTTTGAAACGATTCCGGTAGAAAGGAATTCTAGTTAAAACTTACTTATTTATACCCTATTTAAAGAATTATTTTAGTCTTTTCATGAAAGAGTTTTGTTTTAAGACATCGTAGACGTGACTTGGAGCTGAACTCATAACTAATTTAAACTATTTACAATTCTCATTGTTTTAAATTATGTAAACATACTGTTATTCTTTATAAGTTATTGTCTATTTTGTACGAGATAGTAAATGAGCTCATGGCCTATGTAGTGCCGAGTGGATACCGGAGCCCTTGCCGTGTCACGGTGAATGCCATCGAGTTTGAGAACTAGACAGATTTAACAGATTAGCAGACGAGTCGTTGATCTACCAGCATCACGCATCTGCAACACCACGACTGGGCGAATCAAATAGATTTTTAGATAATTTTTTTTATTGCCTTTGTAGGCAGACGAGCGTACGGCCCACCTGATGGTAAGTGGTTACCGTCGCCCATGGACTTCAGCAATGCCAGGAGCAGAGCCAAGCCGCTGACTACTGTTTAATACTCTCCACAAGCCTCGTTTGAAGAAATACATGTCATAGCGTTCGGGAAACACCGTGGAGGGGAGCTCATTCCATAGCCGGATGGTACGTGGCAAAAAAGACCTCTGGAAACGTACTGTGGATGACCGCAGTGGCTCCAGGTAGTATGGATGAACTCTACTCCGGTGTCGGGCGGTGCGATGGTAAAAGCGAGACGTTGGTATCATCTCGAACAATTACTCAGAGCACTCCCCATGGAACATGCGGTACAAAATACAGAGGGAACCGAAGTCCCTCCGCAGATCCAGAGGCTCCAAGCTTTAGATGAAAAAGTTTCGAATTATTTATGCCTGACGTTCCGTTTAATTTCTTAGAAACATCATGAGTGGAAACCGACCGCGTGAGTAAGTGCTTAGTGGCCGCGGCCACGTGGCGCCCCTCAACCCGACCGACATTGTTCGTGAATTATTAATTACCTTTTAAATGTACAGTGGTAATCGTTTGCACGAATTGTAATTGTTTCACCGTCTGCGAATGGTTTCAAAAGGAATTTTTAACTTTATTTGTTATGAACGCCGCGTCTTAAGGCGGACTTAACTCTGGTAAAGGCTTAACACAAGAAGGCCGCAAAGTCGGTTGCTGATGCCTCTCAGTTTATGTCGTAAATTCGTTACGTGTACTTTGCCGTTCGCCGTAATTTATTTAGGAAGTAAAAACGTTTACTTTGGATTAGGTACGCATGCCGATACACCCCTATGCAAGTGATAGCCTGATAATACGACACACGAGCTAACAAAAACATTCAAAAATTTACTGTCTTAATTTAACTTAACGAATATTTTCATTACGTGGGCTGATGACTCGCGAGCTGATAGTCTGGATCTCCATTACTAGCTCACTAAACTATCGTTGTGAACAATAATACATACACCCAAAATCCCGTACCATAGATTTTTAACAAAAACTGACACCGGCCGACAAACTAGCGAAGACCATTGGCCACTAGAACAATGAATTAGCAAATTTTATCATCATGAGGAGCATCTACATTGCACATCGATTCCAACCGTGCTTAGAGCAAGGAGCGAGTTCATATAAAATTTATGATAAAGCCACAACCGTCCCGTCATGAGCATGTTTGTGCAGTAACAATATTTCTGTTTACATATCATTGAAACTGCCGGACGGTTTTGCCAACAGCATATCGTTCCGAAACACCCACAAATAAGTTTCCGGTAAACAAACACGCAGCGAACTAAACGAACGATCATAATATGTGTTAGTTAGTATCTTGCACTATCG